CACTCACAGTTCAACGGAAAAAAAGGAAAACTCACTCTTAAATAATCCAAAGGGAAAAGTCTCTCGTAGGTATCCATAGGGAAGTCTCCAAACGACGACCGATCTCTCCAGAAACAGGGCACGAACACGCGTCGAGCCATTGAGAGTCCTCCAACGTAACTCTCCATAGAACGAGCCAATGAGCTGCAGCTGCGCAATGAGCAGAGTGGCTTCAGGTGTGATCCGGTGCACGCCCGGCTCGTCCCCGCCGCAAGGCGCGTAACTCTCTGGCTGGCCGAGCCGTAACATAATGAATTTCAAAATGTGCGTTTAATTACTTTTGACAGCCCTAGTTAAAGACAATCAAAAGCTAGAGATGTGGATGTTGTCTCATGCTCTTTTACACCAAAGAAAAAGAAACTGGTAGTGGTAATATTGTTGATTATGACACATTTTCCCTTTGGATCCACCTCTCTGATGTAAAGAATACAACCGTCTCAAAGCCTTTAAAGCCTTTTCATTAATGAAATTCACCATACAAGATCAATAGATCAATAATTTACGGTAGCAAGAGGAACAGTCCCAACATTTGCTAAAAAGCTCTGTCGACTAGTCTGCTATGAAGGAATACTCCGACATTGTTTTAAGACATGATTTAATAGGTGTATGGCTTGTGGAGGGGGGATACGATTAGAGGGTTCAGACAGAGCTGTGGGCGCTTCACCTAAGAAAGATGGTGCTCTTGGAAGTCGTTTTATTTTGGGCATAAGACTTGCAACGCATTTGTCGTCCCCCTCCCTGCAGCAACTCGTTGACTTTTCGTACCCCCCCTTTGGAGGCGGACCGTTAAATTAACAAATCACAAGATAGCATCACATCGCCATGCTGTTCTCTGTTGTTGTCCATTCCGGTTTATCTTTGGCATCTAGAAGAGGATCTGCAGCACACCTCTCTCTGGCTGAGAAGGAAAACTGTCACGTACATTACCACACACACGGCTAGATGTGAGTCCTCATTGGCGACAGCGGTCAGCAAAAACTGACAATTTATTAACCACTGCAGCAGTCTTTACAGCTCCATGACTATTCAAGCAAACCACCAGTTTAGGGTGTAGCGTCAGAGGTCCAGGTTCTGCAGGGCACCTGCAGGCCAGGTCCTCCCTCTGCATCCTCGAGCGAGTGATGTCTTTTTTTCTCTTTAATGAAAGTGCGTTGGCTCATATATATATATATATATATATATATATATATATATATCTGACTTGATTTGCGATACCACAAAATTCTCACAAAGAAAAACTTACAAACACCCAGAGAACACAAAGAGATTGGATTTTCTTGAATTGACTTTCATTTATTTGAACCTCATGGGGAACAATCAGATGGAGTTCTTCCAGAACTAATATTGTGGATGTAAAACGCTTTTTGCATGTTCCACACTGCTGGAAACATAAATCGTTTGTAATACAAGTGAAGATAACGTGGAAGTCTTTGAGCCACAAAGCTATGAAAGTAGAACTCTGCGGTTCTTCCCGGTCACCAACAACATCACTTTCACGCCGCTGGATGACGGAAGAGTAACACATTTAGCAGAAGTCTCGAACTGTTGAATTCCCTCTATAATAATGTTTCTAAAAAGCGCATAGGCAATGGAATTAAGGTGTGGGAAAAAAAAGCCATTTTCTGTGTTACAATGATAATTTATCACACAACTGCAGCAGGACGTCCTTGGCTGTTAGTCATCTTCTACACGGCTTATCCTTAGAGAGTGGTGGGGGCTGGAGTCAATCCCACACCCTGTACTGGTCGCCAGTCAATCGCAGGGCTGACCCAGAGAGAAACAACCTTTAGTTGTCACATCCACACTCCTACGGGCCATTTAGAGTCCCCAATTAACCTGATCCCCAGAGCAAGTCTTTGGACTGCTGGAGGAAGCCGAAGTAACCGGAGAGAACTCCCACAGACACAGAGTGAACATGCAGACTCCACACAGAAAACTCACCACTGTGCCGCCTTAGCAGTCTATTACTTATTTATTTTTACAATTACTTTAGTAGAGTTTTAAAATAAGGGTTTAACATTACACACACACACACACATGGTGCAGGACACCTGCGATTGTTTGCAGAATGAAACCCAAACAAAACCCTGCAATAATTTTGTCACCCTCACTGAAAGTCTGAGTTGGAATTTTAGGATACATTGTTTGTGTGGTGGAGAGGAATATATTGAGCACACAGAAAAACAAACACATAAACAAATAAAAGAGCTACATTTAGAAGTGCCATAATTTTTGCAAAGGTTGTCAGCTATCTAGCCAGATAGTTTCTTTCTCGTCCTTAAAATGGCCGTGGCCTGGTTTACCTGCAATGCACATGTTTGGCATCACGTTGTTGGTATGAGAGTGGTGTAACGTGTCACCGCAGGATGTGCGTGGTTGAGCGAGAAAGAGAAAAAGAAAGAGAGAGAGTGAGTGTGACACTGAGTGATTTTAGAGCTGAGGTGTACAGTTGGTTTGGCCTGCGTTTAAACAAGCAAGCTAACACACAGACATTGAGCCGTGATCAAACAAAGTAGAGAATGTTATGAGTTCAAAACCACAATAAAGTGGATATTTACAGGTTACTTTAATACATCTGGCACCCATTAGTAAAGATTGCTGCTCAACCACCGGGGATTGAGTTAATGCTTCAATAACGGGAGCGGTAGCTCTTCAAGACGCCTCTTACTCTGAGATCCTCAGCATAGAAGCACAGAGAGCAGTGTCCAGAACCAAGTGGCTCGGGCCAGCTGATAAGTACATGGGTGATGGATTACTCTTCCATCCAGGTCCACATGGCCAAGAGGCCATCTCCCCCATGGTCTTTAGAAGCCCAGCCAGCTTTCCAGTAGCCCCCTCTACCAGACACCTTGTGGTGTGTTGAAATATCCTGGCGATGGCCACCGAAGACTAGATCTGGATCCCAGGTCCGGTGGATTTTTGGGAGGCTTATCTTAGCAAGCCTCCCACCCCCTATTTGAGGGGGTGGGAGGCTTCTGTGGGGTTATGTCTCGGGAGGTGGGTGCAATAGGACCCCTGTCCAATCTGGTGCGTCCTCCACAAGCTGAGTTCTGAAAAGGACGGACTGTCAATGACAAGGCAGGAAGACAGAAGACAGGGCACAGAGAACCCATGATCCCGCTGCACCGATGCCTGCTACTCTCCTCCGTTTAAGGAGGCCCATGAATGAAGCGTGGCCTAAATGGCCCACGGAGGCTCCACTCTGGCTGCACTGTTCACTTGTGTGATGGTGTGGCACAGCCAATGAAACAAATGCTGCTTGACAGAATCATTAACCAACGGCTGCTGTCTGCCTTGGTTTGTCCTGTGAACACAACTCACTGAAACATAACACACGGAGCGTCTGTCGTTAGGTGTTAATTGTTAAGACTTTGGGTGTTGATGAGGGATTTGATGCTCGTAGCAAGAGACCGACAAATTCGATCTCAATATTGAGCGGAAGGTTATTCCCCACTTCTTAATGGAGGCCAACTGGTAAAAAGTTGTTTTCCATTAATGCTGTCCAAGCTTATGTCATAACAAGGTGATCAGCTTGCCAAGGTGAGGCAAGCTGATATCATCAACAGAAGAGATGCTAGCTCACTTCTATGATTGCTTCATATCCCATTTTTGCGAAAGAAACCCACCTTGCGTCCATTCACATTTCAGAGGGAACATTTTCTTGACATTCTGTGACCCAGCTTGGTCCTAAAAGACGCATGCTGCCAAACCCTCCTCCTTTAAGAAAGATTATACATTTATTTTCACATGAGTACAAGTAAACAATAGCTTAAGGTCATGTCTGGCTACTGAAATTAGTTATGTCGCAGTGTACAGAGAAATGTATTAATGCCTTGGGCCTTTGATATCTGAAATGCATTAATTAAATGATTCTCTTAGGTAATTATGGCTGTACAGAGTACACAGAGTGGATGAAGAAATTCATGTTTGTATTATTATTATTATTATTATTATTATCTGTGTGTAGTGACAATGTCCAAATAGCAGAGATGTAAGATTTAATTCAGTTTCTATTTCAATTGGGATAGTAAATATTTAAGTTCACAGTACAGAATTGTTATTATTATTTACAATTATTAGAAAAATTGACAATCCCAAATTGCAATAAATCCATTTTTAGGTTATTGTAACATTTTTACAATAATAATAATTTTATGCAGTGGGTTACGCAATAGCTTTGGAAAGTATTTTACCGGTGTGGATTTTGCCACTAAGAATTTGAAAACATCAATATGCTGTAGACTATAACACACTATATTCATTGTCATTATTTAGTTTTATTCCCAGTGCAGTCCTTTTGGGACAAATAAATACTTCTCACCCGTTTGTTATCAGTAATATGATTTGATAACCATTCAGCATCCCAAATGCATTTCTTTACATACACTCTTTAAAAGGTTAGCCAATTTGTTGCCTTTAAACTATTGGGTCCAATTAAAAGCAATACAAGTCAGGTTGCTTTTTTTCTTTTATTTTTTATGCACATCTGAGACAGTAGATACCTGGGGGAGCTGAATTTAATCCAATTTGGTTATTTCCCAATCCTTTGCATATTTATGCCTCATTTATGGGGTAAATGTTGTCTTGGGTGCTGTGCTGAATTCGCAGTCTGCCCTCTACTGCCGTTTTTTTAACACAGTTCTGGCTAAATGATCCGCTCCTATTAGTGATATGCGGTGACCTATGAGATAAGCACCATGAGATGAGCTTTCTAAGTTTCCTTTTGGATTCTATGCCTTTGTGGTTAACACATTCCTACAAAGAAGCACAGACATAGACATATTTCCATGATCGTATATGTTTTATTACACACAAAAGGCAAAAAAAAGAAGTAATCTGTTGAATTGTAACCCAGCAGAACAGAATGTATGTATGAACTTCTATTCATGATACGTGATTAAATGTGTGAACTTATTTGACATTATGGATAACATGTTTTTATGTCATGTTGTGTTTGGCAGGTGACTGGCTGGCTGGAATACCCCCCTTCCACTTCTCTATTTGAGGACATTCCATTCCAGGACGGTGCTTAGGTCTCACCCCCACTCCTCCCCCAGCATGGAGCCCACCAAAGTCCAGTCCGATGGTGGCCTCAATGTCACCCTTACCATCCGCCTCCTCATGCATGGAAAAGTAAGTAGGCAAAGACAAATGTTATATTTTCTCTCATCTTTTTTTTACCTGTAGACATGTAAATGCTGCTGTAGCAAAGGAACTCTCCCCAAAAGTAAATAACACAGAAACTAGTCTCTACTTTACAACCACAAAAATTACCATTTGCACATTAATTGTTCTCCGATGAAACTTTTTTTTGCATTTCCTTTCTTGCAACTGAGAAAAGTCATGATAAATAGCTTCAATACTTTAAGGATACATTCCATGCTTTTACACTGAAATGCTGTGTCAAGTCATACCTGAATGTTAACTGCAGCAGCACTCAACATTAACTTGAAGATTAGCATGCTACACCAGATCAAATTTTCTGCCACAACAGCTCAGTGAACTAGTTTAACTTACGGATCAACTGCAGCTGTACATCCATTTTCACTCTTAAACATCAACATAAAAGCTTATCCTTTCTCCTTGGTGTAATGCCGCCCCTCCTGTCCCAGTCTCACCACGGTAGGGGCTTTTTGTCCAGCGTGCGACGTCCAGCTGGGAATGACCTTAAGAGTCAAATTTGGAAGTGCTGAGCTTTGATTTTTGTTCTGCTGATCCCACTGCAGTCTGCAACCTCATAAGCCCTCATTCAGTATGACAGAATTGATACAGAGGTGGGACTTGTTGCGCTCTCAGCTTACCATACCGTTGATGTTTCTGTGCATAAGAACATTGTGTTAGCTGAGCAGGGGCTGTCTTTTGTCTTCTAGTGCCACTGTCCAGCTCTCTGCGCTGGCTTGACCTCACAACAGCATGTGTTGATACACACACACACTTGTCCTCTGGGATTGGGACGGTTGATTAGAGCTTACAAGTAGATACTCCAGACTTAAAGAGTGGCAGGCTTCTACTGACTGCTCAGGGTGTTCTTGTCTGCCATCAGTGTTTTCAGGATTCCCAGGGCACAGAGTAAGTGGGCCCCACGATCGATTTTTTTGTTCAAGCACTTATATGTAGTGTGCTCTCTGACTATTTTCTTCCACTTTAACTCTTTCAGAGCTGGTTAAAATGTGTGTGTGTGTGTGTCTGTGTGTTAGCCTCACAAAGATCCACCATGCTCAGTTTACACCGGCAACTGCTTTTGCCGTACTTATTTCAAGACTGCAGAGTTTTTTAAAGGGCAATGAGTGGTATTGAATGAATGTCTAAATGCCTCGGTCTTTATGGTGGGCTCCTGGCTGCTAGATAATTGGAGAACCCATGCTGCACGTCTCCCTTGTGTGTAGGGTGTGCGGCACATTGACTCAAGCCAAAATCGTCCCATTGTTTTTGGGGCAAATCAATTTGCAGGCCAACGATTTTCTCCACCGCGTGTCTGCTAATGCAGGAGCCCCCCAGTGGGGGATCCAGTGACAGGTTGAATAACCCTGCAGCAACACAGGCCCGGTCAGCCCCCAGAGACTCAGTGGATGTTGCGTGCACAAAGGACTTTTGGAAGCATTACCTTGTTGCTGCTCTTTTGCTCCAAGCAGCAGGGGGTCGCCACTTGGTGGGGTTGTTTGAGGTGTTGGTAGCATTTTCAGCACGGTCTACAAGGGGCAGTCCATAGGACGCTCCAACTCCTCCAGAGTGTGGATGCAGTAAAGACTTTGTGGTGGAGTAGGTACTGTCTTGGACGCCCATCTTCCAGATTTAGTTTAAGCAGTGTTGTGCTTGCGTTGCGCTTTTAGTCTTCTGACCAAAGAGCTTTAACACTATATGTCATTCATCCATTGACAAACATCTATAGACTACAAGCCGGGGATCGAATCATGGATCCTTTGAATGAGCAGAACCTGCTCTAACACTCAATCGTGCAGGGGAATTAACCGATTCTTTTGTTTTTATTAAAAAAAATATGTTTATGTTGTTTGGGTCCATATTTTATTTTTATCCAATTCAATCGCAAAAAGATATATTATATATAGAGATATATAGACATATATAGATTTACTGTGGCTCTGATATTGTGTAACAGATGTGAGTTATGCATCATTGTCTAAGAGCTTGAATAAATACATTGTCAGTTGTTGAATGCATGTAAGGAGACATGTCACGGACAGTATGATGACACGATAAATTATGCATAATGAAATAGATGTAAATGTTGGGAAGAGAAAGTAGAGTACCAAAGGTAGTACTGAAATCTCATTTTCAAAACTGTTGTGGAATAAAAGTTGAGTAAATTGAAAGTGCAAATGAAATACTATAAAGAGGACTTTTAAGCTAGTGGAGCACATCCACCTATTTGAAAATATATGAAAGTGAAAAATATAAATTGGTTCCAAATCCAATCTCCAATCATCTAAATGTGGTGTGTGCTTATGTCAGCTACTGACCAATCTTTACCTATGATAACATGACTTTATCCATCAAAAATTTTGCAACTTTTAGCGACAAGACTCTCAGGCTACTTGTCTGCAGCTTAAATACCACAACGGATGTGACCCTTCTGCCCTTTACTCACTGTACTTATGAAGACTGATTACATGCAAATAGAAAGTATGTTCCTGAGCGCCGCCATGCAGCTGTGAATCCTTTGCATGCCCTTGTACTGTTTAAACCTTCTTCGATGAATTTTTCTCTGAAAATCCGTGTTTTACTCTCTGTTTTCTATTGTAGGAGGTTGGAAGTATAATTGGAAAGGTACGGTATTTCTGTTAGATGACATTTTTGTACTCTTGGAAATGTATATGTATATTACTGTTAATTGTTTTAGCAAATCTACATATTTATAGAAAATGTATAACATAAAACTTTTAATACATTAAAATGTGCTTTTTCCACAGAAAGGTGAAACTGTGAAAAAGATGCGAGAAGAGGTGGGTTACAGTCTTAAAAATCCTTTATTTAAATAATCAAATAAAAAACATTGCTATGCTCTTCCGAAGCAAGTCATTTAGTGACTACACTTTAAAGAATACAAATTGCTGAAAATGATTGACGATAATGATTGACGAAATTATATCACATTCTGCCCATTTGGTTCACGAGTGTTAAATAGACATTTCAAATTCATTATATATGAATTCCTGGATTACGGTTCTGCATTAATTATATTGACCCCGGTGACTTTATTTTTGTGTTGTTTTTCAAGAGTGGAGCACGAATCAATATTTCTGAGGGCAACTGTCCAGAGAGGATCGTCACCATAACTGGACCAACAGACACCATCTTCAAAGCATTTGCTATGATTGCATACAAATTTGAGGAGGTAAGAGAATTACTGCAGTGAAGTGAAAAATGCAGATCCAATTAGAATTCATGGGTTTTTGCCATCTTACAAAATATGCATGGATAGTGTCATATCAGACACAGGTCCTTTGTCTCAATTTGAATGAGCTGACATGTGTATCGGCTCATATCTTAAAGGACTACAACAGAGTTTATATAACGGTTACATTTATGAAAAATGAATATCCTATTATAGTGCATCTACATAAGGCACATACTCTTTCATCATTCATCATGGCAGATATTTGTAGCCTATCGCTCGGTGGATTTAAGAAACCTTTTCCTCTGATCGGACCTTTGTGTTTCTGCTGCTTATTTGCACTGACCTTTAAGTTTGTTCACTGATTTATTAGGAAAGGCGTCATTGATTGTTTGGGACACATTGCAAAAATGAAAGCTATATATTTTGTTTTCCAGGACATAATCAATTCTATGAGCAACAGCCCAGCGACCAGTAAGCCCCCAGTCACCTTAAGGCTGGTGGTGCCTGCCAGTCAGTGTGGCTCCCTCATAGGTAAAGGGGGCTCCAAGATAAAAGAAATGAGAGAGGTATGCTATGAAACATTTTTATGGTTAACCACAAAAATCAATGCAACATGGACAACAAAGTCAGGCATTTTCTACTTTCCTTTACCTTTTTCAAGATAAGCAGAATAAATAGTTTAGCCATTTTTTTTGTCTTGGTCTTTAGTTACATTTTATGAATATTTAAAATCAAAACTGAAGCTGAAGAAAACTGAAGAGTCCTATAACTGAAATGTGTGATGTCATGAAGTAACGGTAAATGTATGTTTTAGAACTTTACTCAAATCAAACTCAAGTAACTCTGCATTCTTGGGACCTACACAATCTGTCTTGCATTCAAACTGATTGGAGAATTGAAAGGCCACAATATACCCTGTTATACATGCAGTACACCCTTTTCCCCAAAAATTACCTTACCATACAATTAAACTGCATTCTCAATGATGTTTCAAGGGAAACTTATTTTTTTCCTTGTAACGGCCTCAGTCACGTCAGCATGTCAGCAGGCTGATAGGTCTAAAAGTTATAACTTATAACATCATTTTAATCTAGTGATGGGTACATGTTGTATCCTCACCTTGTATAAAAGTACCAGATCAAACCCAACTATAACACTGGATGTTGTCAGTATCAAGAAAGTTTAAATACTTGAGGCACAGTCTGTGTGATTTAAAACCAAAACCTGTCAACCTTGTAACTCAAGGTCCCTTACTCTACTCCAGTCCACAGGGGCCCAGGTCCAGGTAGCAGGGGACATGTTGCCCAACTCCACAGAACGAGCCGTGACAATCTCTGGGACCCCAGAAGCCATCATCCAGTGTGTCAAACAAATCTGTGTGGTCATGCTAGAGGTACAGCATGTCACGATTGAGCTTTGGTTCATTCAATTGCTAATTTTAGTCCGGATAAAGTTGTCTACTTATGAAGAAATTTGAGTTTGAGACTCCAAAAGCTGTGACAGATTTTCAGCATGACATTCACGCACCACGTCTCCACACCTGGTTAGACTGACCATCTGTGGCAGTAACACAAATGTATTCAGGAATCGATAGTTGAATGGGAATCAGTGTTTAAATTTAAAAATAAATTATATGAGACACACATTCGACTGTGTTTGGGTCAAAAACACCTAATCATTGTTATCCAGAGTTATTAACTTGACTCCAATTGATTTCCATTTTGTAGCAGACCTGGATGGGTATTTGAAACTTGAGGATCACTTGTGGTGCAACTACGTTGAGAATACATAATTAAATTGTCTCATTACAGTTTGAAGTCACTTTGTATTCATAACACAATTTTTGCGTATTACCATTCGGGTAAACTGTCAGCAAGCCTGTTCTTGTAAGACTAAAAACACAGTTATTGTTTCTTCATCTTGTATTTAAAGCACATACCTGTAAACAGTCCTCCCTCCGCAGCGCAGGAACAAGAGAGAAAATCTAATTATGCCCTCTCTACATCCCCTTAGATGCAGCAGGAATCAATAACTGTGTCATCATCTTCCATAATTAGAGGCCTGATTTCTCTGAGCTCCATGACTCCTTTTGGTTTGGTTTTTACAAAGAAAATTAACTTTTGATAAAAGCTGCCAGCAAACAAGAGAAAATCTAATTTACCAAAGTGCGAAAATTTCCAGTTTTTCTTTGATTAAAATGTGATTGACAGCATGAATACATTTAAATTATTAAGCAAATGACTGCTTCTCCTCTACTTAATACTAATGATTTAATTTCAAAGCTACACCCTGCTCCACATATATCAAATTATACAATGCCAATCACAATAGTACGAGAGTATTTTGGGAAACTTCTCTTATTAGAGTTCGATGACAGGATCATTACCATCGTCAGATCTGTTCATTTGAAAGAAGCAACAGCCAATAGTCGGATAGTGTAGCATAAAGGCAGGGGAAAACCCTAACACACCTTGTTCCAAAGTTAACACTATTTACACCATGAACCTTAAAGCTCACTAACAGATACAAAGTCACTACAGCAGCCACGAAATGATCTGTTGTATTATTTTTACTATATATGTATATATGACTTGCTACATTGAGAGCATTATTCGTTCTGGTAGGTGGATTTTATTTGCTAAACATATTAGCCATATATACTTGTGTGTTTTGGATCTTGTCATTTAATTCTCAACAATTTAGCTAATTAGTTCGTATTGCAAAATGTTGAAACGGGCATTTTTTTAAATAAAATGGAAATAGCTGACTCTGCCTCTCTTCTCTCTTCCCATTCTCTTAGTCTCCACCAAAAGGTGCCACCATCCCTTATCGCCCAAAGCCCGCCTCCACCCCAGTCATTTTTTCTGGTGGCCAGGTAAGAGCTGAGCTGGCATCAGCTTGTTAGTCCGTGCCCACGGCCAACCCGAGACGGGTACTGCAGCGTCAGCCGCTGCGTGTTCCTGCAAGCCTTTCTACTTTTCTGTGCAAACATGCTTACTACCACAGTCCAGAACCAGGCGACCCTCTCTGGAACAAATCTGAGCATTAGTTGTATGTTTCAAAACTGAAATGGCCGGCGTTTGCATTTTCCCGACAAATAACATCCCGTGACGCGCAAATGTGTTTGTGCACTGTCAGCCGCAACGGCTGGCTTTTAAAAGTCTCATGGAGGTCAGACGGGTTTCTTTTGATGTGTGAACAAGACGTGTGTCTTTGATACCAGAGGATAAAAACCCAACACAGGCTCACTGCCGACTTGTCAAATACCAACTGTCAGTCAGTTCCTTTCAGAGGCTGATAGCGATGAGTCAACCCTCAGACACACCACTCTCCCCTCCTCACTGTTAGCATACCTAGGTCAATATTTGATGCAACATTCAAGGCATTTTTTAAGAAAATAAGATTTTTGCAATTTAAAACATTTTTACGGTCTTTTGAGGTAAAAGTGTAAGAGGGTTTGTCAACAGCTGTGACTGAACAAGCTGGTTTTCTGTGTGACTCTTTTAGCCCAGTGGCATTGCAGGACGTGAATAGGACACAATTACAAAAAGGATTGTGTACTTGAACACAAATTGTTCATTTTGTTGTGTCGCTCTGCATGAAAACAGTTACAATGATGAATTGTGGCGGACACGGGAATTAAACTTATTCATGGAACTATTCATTGGTCAGAGCTGGTGATGTAGTGTTGAATATCCAGAGAGACCACTTATGGATGGCTGCAGGATAGAGAGACAAACCCAGGACTTTCACACATGAGACCCGTACGAAAAAAATAGAATGTGTTGCATTTTGTGATTAATTCACAAACTGTCTTGTGACTAAGTTGTCTGCGCCTGTAGTGTAAATAAGATGCTAAAAGAGTGTAATGTTGTTCCTCTCCTCAGGCCTACACAATTCAGGGACAGTACGCCATTCCACATCCAGATGTGAGTTGTTTGTCTCTTTTTCAATAACTCTACCTGTATCTTAACCGCCTTCTCAAACACGCTTGTTCAACTGCATTGACGCATCCGTTGCTCAGATGGTGATTGAGGGAAGGATGAAATCTCAACCAAAGAAATGGTGTTTGCACAGCTTTGCACTCGGCGGTCCATGATACCTCAGTATAGAGAGGGAGGAGTGGCCAAGGGGGTTATTTAGTAAATTTCCATCTGCAACCACCCGACAAGATTGCACCAAACCCCCCACACTGTCCCTTTGAGAGTGAACTACGGCTCAACCAATAGAACTCATACCAGACATGGTTGATAACAAAACGTTGACTGTTGGAGGTCACCGAAAAAGACAGACAATAATGGCAGTTTTTTTAATACTCTGGCAACCCAGGGGATGTTGATGGCAGATTGAGAGATAAAAGTGGAGTCTCAGAGACAAAAAGTGTCCTTTAATAAAGGTAAAGGCCTGTGCACTGGATAGTAGACTCCCTCCATCACCTCTTGCAATCTGAGATTGGGGATCCGCCTCCTCTACTTTGTCTGCTCGGCTCCTCCCACTGGTTTGCCACAATATCAACAACCCTTAAATTCCCCTGGACCACATAGTCTCCATTAATTATCTGCCTTCATGTGTCCTTGTCGTGAAAGCATCTTAAAAGGCTACTGTGTGTCACATCCGCTAATTCAAAGTTGGTCAGTGATTGATGCAACTGGAGGTGGTGGTGGATGGTACAATCACTCAAGTACTGGCTTGACACCCCCTTGCACCCTCATTAAAACTCCTCTTAAAATAAGAAGAAGGCTTAAAAGCATCTGTCTTACCCCAGTCCTGATGGAAATTATCCACAGCGGGGGAAGGACATACTGTGACCATGTCTGGAGCATAGCAGCTTCTCTGACGGGCTATGTAAAAACCGAAGGTTTCTAGTTCTGAATACTAAGTGTCGGCTTGAAGGACACATGGTAAGTGGAGAGGAAAATGGAAATGACGTTTTTTTTCTGCTTTTGGTTAATGTGCTGATGAGTGGAGACGTTGGTCCCTCCTTTTTGTTCCTTAAAAAAACAGGTTAAATCATTGAAAATGAAAATGAAATTAGCAGAAAGAGGAGGAATAATTCAATTACAGAGCAATTTAGAACGTGACAGACAATCACCCCTTTCTCTATCTCTCTTTCTCTTCATTTTTTTGTCCTTCCACACCCTGACCTCCTTCTCCTCACCTTTTTTTCAGTCCAGTTTTAGTTTGCTTGATTTCTTGGTGTGACCTGTGTGCCAGTAACCTCTTAGTTCTACTTTCCCTCCTAACCCCTTCAGCAGTTGACCAAGCTCCACCAGTTGGCTATGCAGCAAACCCCCTTTACCCCCCTTGGACAGACCACCCCTGCTTTCCCTGGTACGTACCCTCAAGGCCCCGTAGACGTATCCCTCTCTTTGCATCCAGAGAAATATTTTTCTCTTTCCCTGCCTTCTTCCTTATCTCTTTTTGGCACAGCATGACTTGACCCCCGTGGTGTCACTCGCCCCTTTGATTTTTTCATGTATATATTTTCTCTTGGCTCTGTCTGATATATTATGCCGGTGAAATGCATTAAAAACGTGGGCACTGGGCTTCACTTAAAACAATGAATTTATAATTGTGTTATCATTTGGCAACAGGATTCTTCCTCTAACACATTCTTAGCTTTCGTAACTTACACATGAAAACCTCCTGTGAAATAGGTTTATCACATTGTACTGTAAAAATGAATTTGCCCTCATCTCCGGCCCATGCATGCATGGGGACCTTTCTGTAAAAGGTCAAACGTGAGTTCGACACATGTTTTAAAGGTCAAAGTGACTTTTTAAGTCCCATTTCCCGTCTCCTCTCCCCTTGCTCCCCAATTCAGGTTTGGACACCAGTCCACCAGCCAGCACCCACGAGATTACAATTCCCAATGATGTGAGTAAAGCTTTCTTGAGGAAGGTGTCTGAGCGGGCTCTTTCTCAAAATCCTGTACTTTTCTAATAATGTGACTTTTAATTATTATGTCATGTACATTTAAGTGATGTTGAAACAACGGCTGATTTGCAAAAATGATTGTAATAAACAGTTTGTCACTAAATATGGTACCTCGAATGATTCAGTCTTATAGATCACTACGCCAAGCCATTTCATTACCTTTTGAACTTCCTTTTAAATAGGTATTAAGCATTTATCATCTTAAAACAACAAAGACCTTTTCTTGTTTTTTATTGATCTTCTGCTTTCTCCCCAGTTAATAGGCTGCATCATTGGACGCCAGGGAACCAAAATAAATGAGATTCGACAGATGTCAGGAGCGCAAATCAAAATTGCGAACGCCATGGAAGGCTCGTCAGAGCGCCAGATCACCATCACAGGGTCTCCTGCCAACATCAGCCTTGCCCAGTATCTCATCAATGCCAGGTAACCTTTCAACTCTACCTTCTGGGTTTCAGCGCAACCAAAAGGACGCATGCAACACCTGAGTGACCATATTTATATCAAATATCCAATTGTAATGTTTTAAAAGAAAAATAAATAGCTTGCTAGTTTAATGTTGACGTTTAACACACTGATACGTGGATGAGTTGACTGAAAAATCCTGATATTTTTCAGGTTTTGACAAGTGACAGATAAATCTATAAATGATGAGGCTATTTGTGTTATGTCCTTGTTTTTTCCTTACTACTTTTGTTTGGTACTTGCAAAGAAGTATATGCATTAAAATGCATTACGTTTCAGCCAGTGAACTATTGGCAAGTAAGTGGTTCAAGGGAGCAATGCCAACTACTGAGACAAAGTTGTGGAGCCTGGACGGAACCTGTAGATTCCCAAACTAAATGTCCAAAAAGTAAACCTTTTAATGCGCAATTTCCATTTGGAAAGATTATGGACAAATCTGTAAGGTGTGCAGTGTCTACAAACCTAATATAGTAGATGGTCCTTGTCTGTTTTCACATAACCAAATTATGCAAATTATACAAAACAAGAACGATCGGTGAGAAGAAAGCAATTTAGCTACAAGACATATTCAGATTCAGGAATGTATTGATGATAAAAATACCGGAAAAAAACATAAGAAAATATTTAGCATTTTCCCCTATATCTGCTGAAACCAGCCATTCATTATCAACAAAGAAAACGCACCCTGACTGATGTCCACAGACCTTCACCTCAAAGGCAAATGTTATCAGCGTCAGAGCAGGAGAACCCACATACCATTACTCAACAAACACAATTTAATTTCTTTGACTTCTTGAGGAGATTTGAGAAAACATTCCACTGAGAAACTAATGGCTATTGCTTTCCTACAATTCCAACGGCAGGTTCAGGGACGTGGCAGCCATGTGGAATGACCCCTCATCTATGACTACATCCTGAAGTACCCCCAAATCTGCTTCACAATTAACCTCTCTGTGTTACCCCATGGAACCTACCCTAGAGTCCCTTCGTTTTGCAAAACACTTGTGCATTATTCATTGGGAGACCTACAGTAACGGTCAGATTTACACCGGGATGTTTTTGAAGTGGACGTAGCCAGTATAAATTTAAGAATAGTTTGACATTTTGGAATCCTGAGTTATTAGTCATTTTTGCTTTGGATTAGAAGAATCAATACCACTCTCGGATGTTTTTTAAGTAAAGCTAGATCCGACTGGAAACAGCTCGTCTGTCTCTATCTCAAGGTAATAGCATCCAAGCGCTTCTAAAACTCGCAAATTGACATGGTCGCCGAGAAAATCTCACGTTGGCGTTAGAGCTCAAGAAAGCCACTGTAGTTTGGCACACAACCCTCTTCGGAAAGCCTGAAGGTCACATTTTAAACTTCGCTTTTTGTACGAGTTACAGATTCATTATACAATTGTCAGAGCTTCATGCATTGTCAACATAGCGGGGCTGTCTGTGCATTCCTTTGCAGGTCATGTGATGGCGCCCCACAGGCTCAATAATGGCCACCGCTGCTCTGTGCTCATAGTACGGTTACAGCTGATAACGCCGTAGTCGTTCCCCCACAAGTTAACACTGTTACCCCTGTAAACACTGTTGCCGTTGCCTGCACTGTTAGCACTGTTAGCTTCAAGCTGCGTTGAAAGCCACCTAAAAGGCAAAGGAAACACTCTACATTTGAAATTCAGCCACTTTAAATCAAATGAGATGTGATATAATGTGCGAGGTGGTACAATGCGGAGTCTGCTAAGAAGGAGCCATGGTTCCAGGTTGTAAGCTATGCTTAGCTAGGCTAACCGTTTCCTGACTTTAGCACGCAGACATGAGAGTGGTATTCTCATCCTACTGCAAGAAAGGGGACTTTTCCTAAAATGTTAAATTATTCCTTTTAGTAGAGTTTTAGTCTTCATTTAGCATGAATATTATCCTATTTATTTTTGTCATCGCTATAATACATCGACTTCCCTATTAAGTTCAACTGTCAGAGTTGAGTAAAGATAATAAAAAAATTTAAAAGAAAAAAAGAAAAGTAAAAAAGACTAAACACGTGACTGCCACTAGAGCAATACTGTTTGAAATGCAATGTGATGCCTCGGTCAGGGATTGCAGAGATTTTTACAAATCCCATGACACAACCATTCTTTTCTGTCCATTGCATGGCTTCAGGAAGGGGGTTAGTGTTGCATGGGTATGTTACCATATTTTCTAGAAGCTTCGTGTGAAAAGGGTACACATCTGTGCTTGAGTTTCTGCTGACACCAGTTCCATTTTTATTCTCACAAAACCAGCCGGAGCAGCATGACTTTCGAGAAAGTTCTTTTTTCACAGCTTTTTTTTTTTTTTTGTCCCCCCCCCCCCCCCCTGCTCCTCCCCCTGCCTGGCTCTCCCTTAACTGTTCTAGGCTGATGTCTGAAGTCACTGGAATGGGCACACTCTAATTTCTACCCATCTTCCTTCTGTGCACCACATGACCTTTGAGTGAATGGCATTATACCTAGAATATTTATTTCTCTGTATTTGACTTTGCTGATATTTAGGTGCTTTATGGTTTTTTGTATTTACTGTGAACCTGGTATCTGCACTGTTTTTGGGATGCCTCACACCTCTGTCCCTGTTGTTTCTGTTTCTGAAAGGTCGCCTTACTTTTTTGACACTCTAGTACCTTTTCATCTGCTTCCTTTTACCTCATGATTTAATATGTCACTGCATTTTTCTTTCTTGCTCTGCAGGCACCCAAAAGTAAATACAAAGTAAACCTAAAAAAACAGTAGGCGATTCAAACAAAGCTTTTCTTTCACGCACCAAGCATTCTATTCAATACATTACCACTATATAATTACATATATCCATGTTAAAAAAAAAAGGTGGAAAGGACGACTGAAGGGTGAAAGGGAATAGATCGCGCCGTGAACGGTCTTATGTGAGTTGTCACACTGACTCCAATTTCAAATGACCTCATAGGCACAGGAAAATAAACATCCACTGTAAGGCACAGACATCCATCTTTCAGAGTTTCCTACGAGAACTGCTGAAAAGGTTGGGAGAATAAATGAAAATAGGCAAAAAGGTTTTACGGTGAAGAGTGAGATTCATATGGTACAAATAAACCCTGCCTTATTTAGATTTGTTATTTCGGCTTCCATCTCGTAATGGCTGCATAAGGATCATCTGCTAGTTTGGGAAGCAACAAGCAAACATTCCTGGTTTGCATGTATGAAATAGTGGAAACATATGTCCCTTACATGTATACCAACGATGAACCAGTTGTGTGGTTTTCCAGCTTTACGTCAGTCAATGAAGTTAAATTAAATCACGGCTTTACTATAAATTTCTGTCTACAGTTACCATCAAATACCTTGGTTACAACCCGCTGCCTATCAGTTTAAGCTGTTGTTGTTTCTAACTAACACATGCACAACCTTTGTCTTTTTCAAACTCAAGCTGAATGTATTTCAGAATGTGTTTTAAATGCAGTGACATGTTTTAAATCAGGCACGTGGAATATGATGCAGAATGATTATTTCTGTGATGTAAGGTATCTAACATTAACCAACCTTTCTGTATGTTCTGAAAACATATGAACGGAGGCATCTGCAGTCCTCATTTCAAAATGTGGGCAATAAGTTAACAACAATTATGTTGTCAAACTGGACATTTCGTCTCATGGATGACAGGTAGCTTCTATTTATAATACATATATATCTTATATCATAATATCATTTTAATCCCAAAGCCTGGATGTGCTGTACTCTGATGATAACTAATAGGAATTATTTTGGGGGAATATTGCATCACTGCAGTTTAGGCTCAGGTACTTTTGAAAATTGATAATAAGTTGGTTAAGAGTCAGAATGATTTTGTTGAAACCAAGCTGCTTTACATTAAACGGATTTACAAATTGTTTGTCACAGTTACATTACAAATGTAAATCTCTAGAGAAGCACTTTGTTTCAGATGGAGGAATAGCTGTCAGAGAGCGAACTGTTTTATTTAAAAACTCCCCATTATTCATCATTCCGCAGGTTCAAGGTGCCTGCTGATTATGCGCAGCCAAGATGGGTTTTAAATTGTGACCTATTTGCGAACTTCTGAGTTGCCTTTTTTAATACCACACATTTCATAATCATGGCATCATTTATTTGCTCATTATTCCACAAGGCTGTGTAAGTCAAACAACTTTTGTTGTGTTGCTTTTGTCGTTATCAATGCATTAAAACTTTTTTGTTTGTGTGCTAGAGCAACAAAAAAAAGGCTATATTACTATATGAGGCTGTATGAGGAAATGTGTTTGATCATGTTTAGGTTTGATCATTTGCTTCTTGAAGGTCCGTGTTGTATTTGTTAATTAAGAAATGTTTTGTAAAAAGAAGAGAATAAAGTTTGTGTTTTTCTTCCCCGGACTTGAATTTGTCATCTTTTTCCTTTTTTGAGTCTTGTGAATTATATTTTGAAATTTGTTCAACTTTACAGACACTTTCAACAAGACCATTTCAATGCGCTTGTACGCTTGTTTATTGTTCAGAATTACATTTGAACCTTTAAAGAAATTGAACATTAGGATTTACTACTACTACTTTCTTCCTGCCAATATTGGGCAAGTTGCTCACATCCTCCAACAACCCGAATCCGAAGTCCTCACAAAAGATGTAATGATTTACGCTGTGGGGACATGGATTGTTATGTGAGTCCCCACAGTGGGACCGAGAAAAACTATTTATTTCGACAACACACACACACAAGCTGAAATAACCAGCAGTTAAAATAGTCAATACAATAGCAATACTGGTCAAACATGTTGTCAGAAAAGCCTCTGCCCTCTAAAGACATTGATGAATGGCTTAAATCCCCCTCAGAGATAAATGTGTTGTGCTTATACTGTGCAGTTTGATCTTTATCGTGCAGAATGAGGTTTGCGTCGTGTGTGACAGTGGAAGGCTGATTCATGTTCATTTGCTGAAGCATTATAAAGTTCATCTGTAATTATATGGAATCTCAGTTTACACAAATGAAATGCATCGTTTCTCAAATATGTCAAACAAATCTACGGTGCACATACGCTGATAACGGATTTTTCAATGAGAACGAGATTTTGGGAGATGAGTTATTTGGACCTCTTTGCCCAAAACTGAAAGAAGTATATAAAAGTTGTACTTTAACATGTCTGGAGGGGGTGGGGGGTGTTTTAAAACCCTAGACAAAATATAGTGTTAAAAGGATGTTTATGTAATAGAAATAATAAAATCTCCATAAAGAGAGGAAAAATACAAAACGACAACAGTGCTACAGCCGTTCTGCTATAGAATCACTCACTGTATTTTACTCGTATACTTTTTTCAACCAAAAGTGCTTTGCGCTGTTAGGGGGTACCTGGCTGAAACATATTCCACTGGGGTACATTACTGAAAAAGATGGAGAACCACATACGGCCCTTTGAGAAGCATGAATTTAGTCTAAGTGTTCATATTCTCTCTAGAAGCCACACTTGTTACTAGAGCTTGTTTTTCCCCCCCTAATGAATCCCACCAAGGCCCCCAGTGAGGGCATCTTGTACATTTCATTCCGAGATAACCCTGCATGACGCCAGTTAGTTCATTCTTCAGCACAACCTAATGACCATGAAAGTGGACGAAATAGCTACAGTAAATCCATAAAATGCAAGTTACAGACAAGCATTAGGACAATTAAAAAGGTTACTTATTTTTGGCTTAATTTCCCTTGTTAGTCTCTGATTTACACGTGCAATCAGAGGCAGAATGTTCCCACTGTGCTGAATGTTCACAGACATTCCTACAACAAAAGTTACTTAAAACTGAACTGAACTGAAATGTTGCCTTATTTTATACTCTCACCATATACTGTCGGGCTTGTAAACTGTTTTGTCATGCTCTTTCTATGCAGCAATTTGGCCACTGTGTTTTGACAGGAAGCTCGTTTGAATTTTAATTTCAGAATGTGAGAAACTTGTGGATGGCATATAGGATAGTTATTGGATAGGGATGTTGAGGGAGTGGACACAATAACAGGAACCTCTTGCAACATAATGCAACCAATGGAAAGACCCCCGGAAAAAGGTCTAAATTCATGAACTTCTTCTTCAGTTTTTCTTGAGAAAGTTAGCAAGACCCTAACTCTGTGCACATTGTGTAGGTACTTTCTTATGGCTGTCGAGCTCATGCTGATCTTGCATGCTATCCTCTGCACAGACTGTAAAAGACTATGAAACTGTAAATTATAAAAACACCGTCTTACAAGTTCAACTTTCTCTGCTCACTCCATGAGCGCCTTTTGAGACACTTTGGTTTACAATGTCATAATTTGAGTCTACTGTAAAACATAATTCGGAAAAAGCGTTGCAATCCTGATGCAAAAAGGTGAAAAGGCTCCGTTGTGTTGTGTTCAGTGACCGTTTCATCTAGAGTCGCCGCTGTTAATCAGACGTCCGTGTGTTGTGGCTTGACAGGATTGTGTGAACAAGAGACCCTGCCACAGGGGACGCTTTTGTCCACAAGGATGTTGCAAATCAACGTTGTCGCTCCACAGGGGCGACAAGAGGTCACCTTGTGTGCAGCCTGAGCATCAGTCCTCACCCAATCTGTAATGGCTGTTAAATATGCCTGGTTTCAAGCGACTGTTGTCATATTCATGACATCGTGCTCGCAAAGTCCCTCATTGCATTTAGTAACACATTCAGCAAGTCTAATGAGAGATAATGCCCACGTGATTCTGTTGACAACCTTGCCAGGAAGCTCCAAATTAGAAGCTCATTGGGATTTTGCCTGTTTCAATACCTTAACATAATGCAACCAATTTTTCCTTGGCGAGAAATTAAAGAATTATGATATAAGAATTAAGATGAACAGTCCTTTTGAGATAAATCGATGATATAATAATAAAGCAATGAGACTTACAATTCTAGTGACGTAAACAGGTTAATGAATACTACATCACAATTCTTAGTGTGTAAGAAATTACATTATATTGCATGTAATTTTATCCAAAGCGACTTGCAATGTGCATTTGACCATAGGGATACAAACTCAGAAAATCAAGAAACAAGAAAGTGCAATTTCATCAAATAAGCCAATTTACAATTTGCTATAGAGAAGTGGCGTTGAAAGTACAATTTAAGAAATGTTATTTAAATTACACAGCTGTAAAAAAAAAAACACCTGATCGATATTTCCTCTGGACATGTGACTTTGAGAGAACTCCTCTCACGTGTACATGGTAAAAAATGATTAAATAATGAATCCCTTCTAAGTGTTTGGGGCTGGTGTTCATCGTGTGATTCTGCAATACGAAGAACGTTTGAGGCGGCTTGGTTTCGCTAATATGAGACTATGAAAAGAAAAATAGGAAATGTTTTCATTTAATTAGAGGTTAAAGCAAGATTGTAAAACTTGTATTGCAAACGTTTATGGAGCCCTGAAAATCTGATTGAGTGTTGCTTTTGGAATATAAATAATTGGGTCCCAGAAACTAATCACAGGGAATTATTGGAGACTTGAACGTGTTCTATAATTAACAGCTCATGTGACACGACCTGCTTTTCCTCTTGTCTGCTGGGTTCCCTCCATCTGGTGGAGATTTTGCAGCTCAGTGAAATCAGATGGTCTGGTATCGGAATGAAAGCCATCATACTCTTGACTGTCTGCCGCATATTGATTAAGTCAAAGCCATTTAGTCACTGCTGACAGACTACAGATAAAAACTCGAAACCTCTGTCTCCTCAAAAAGCAGAAAATAACCAGCATGTCAGCATTTCTTACAGAACTTTTATGGATGTATTTGTTAAAACCCAGGCTGTCCCTTCAGCATCCTGCTAATCGCCTGACATGCATTCCTATGTGCACATACATCCCAATTCAGAGACCTTTGTCATGCTCCCTGACGAGACCGACAGGCGATATGCAGCCGCTGATTTGCACATCTCTTGCCACCTCGATCTTCCTCGTCTCTGTTACCCAAACGATATTTTGACAATCTTATTGCAGTGCAAAGACGTTTTACGTTTAAACATTATTGCTCTCATTATACGACTGCCTCAGGAGCATTTGGACGTAATCACCATCTTCCATTGACATTTGAAGGGCTTTTTTTGATTATTGGCAGAAACATGACATTCTTAATCCTTAATTACTAATGAAAAGTTAATAATGAACTGAAATCAGTATTGAAGTTTAAAACCTGACGCTGCCACCCTAAAAATGGAATTATGTTTAGAGAAGGCTTTAGAAGGGAATCATGTCAACGTTTCTGTCATGGGATGGGGTGGAAGGCAGGACTCAAAATGCAGACTTGCAGGAAAAAAAAGGACTTTAATAGTCAAAGGTCAAAAAATCCAAAAGGCCAAGGGGCAAAAACACACAGGCATGCAACTACAGATACCCACAACAAGGGACACGGACATGCGTGACGAAAGACAATGACGAGACCAGTGACACAGGACACACACGGCTTAAATACACAAGGGAGGTGCAGGTGATTGGACACAGGTGGAAACTATTAGACGATCACAGGGGATGACGGGACAAGGCAGGAAGTGAAGTTACCCAGGGACACGAGTGGCAGAAAACTACAAAATACAACAGGAAGTGAACCACACCGTGACAGTTTCAAAGACATTTTTTTAGGCTGAACATTTTTTTGTGTTTTCTCAAGCCTTAACTTTTTAACAAATCGTATCCCTCCTTACAGGATGTGAGGGGGTCACGCAGAGTGACCGTGGGTGACCACCTCTCTTCTCAAGTCCCTTCTTACCCGATTGCATATATGAAGCACAGGGCAGCTCAGAGAACACCATGTTCTTTATGTAGTTTCTGAGCTCTGCAGGCTGCACCTTTAAGCTCGTGGTTTCGTAACTGCACGGACGGGCAGCGTCAGCTCGGGGACCTCAAAGCTGTGTGCCTTTCTAAATCACCTCCAGTCAGATTAATTTACCACGGCCAGAGTCCAATCCAGGGGCCGACGCAGAAAACTGGGAAGTGTCAGGGTCCTAATGCTTACGACGAAGTGAAAGTGAAAATGACTTCCAAAATCCTCTTTTCGCTTGATGGTCATTGGGTGTTGACTGCAGATTGGCAAAAGAGTGTATTAACGGAAGTAATTTAGCATAAAGCTGCAACACAATTAAGTTTAATGAAAGTGAAAGAGTGTGAATCCTTTCTAAAGGCAGTGTATGTGAAGTCTGGAACGGTAATCTATATATATACACACACATGTTCAGCATAATTACACATCAAGAATAACACCATTAAATCCAGTCCCCGCTGCCCGTGGATGCTAATAGCTGCTAATGCCCTGCTCCCTTGGACACTGCTACAGTCACTAAACGTAATTGTGATTTATTGCTCCAACCCAAATGTCCTCTCATCAGTATCTTAAACCCCATTGAGGGGAGATGAATGTACTTTGTCGGAGGAGATCCAAAGTGACACACATGGATGAGCAAGTAGGCGACATGAGGGTGGAATTACCGCAGGCAGCGGTCCCGCACAATCTGTCTCCTCCAAATCATTTGAAGATAAATTAAGGGACAGGTGAACGGGAAGGTGACGGGGGAAGAGCCCCCTGGAGACGAATGTGCCTTTTGCCCACCAAGTAACTTCAACCGCTACAACACACACTGAATCACAAATCAGATGTACAGACAGATGTAGAATAAAACCATTTTCATTCAAACATAAGAAGAAACTAAAACCCTGACTCAAGGGGAGATTTTTCTGTGGCTTCATCAATCACAATAAATTGATGTGGTGGTAGAGGCGGCGTCGTCGTTCATCCTAAATGACAGCCGCGCTTGCGCCTCACCCAACCCCGGACTCCCCCTTCCTGGTCTCTGCAGTTGATATGGGAGAAGGTTGACACAGGGCCGCCGTGGAAACCCTGCTGCATCTCTCTGCCAGGGGACGCGTGGTATTTGTGCTGCTTTCGTAACAGCTGCGCTCCAAATTCCTGACCTTGGCTTTCTCTTATCGGACTGCCACAGTCTTCACATTTTGACTTAGATGTCAGTGTGTGTGTGTGTTAGTGCGTGTGTGTGTGTGTGTTCTAGCACAGTGAAACCACCGGCGATCCCTTCTGAGACCCTTCATCTGATTGGACAAAGGATGACATTTGCCTGTGAATTGTCTGTACCAGAATTGTCAAGCTCAGCAGATATATTTTAAGATAAAATCCCTCCTCCAGCTGCTTGTGTTGTCTGTGAGCAAAGATGATTTTTTCTGGGAACTTAAACGTTGGGCTTGCCTGCTCTAATTTAGCCTGTATAAGTCTGCTGGTTTCTTATACTAAAAAATGACAGATCGGTGAGGATTTGATTTTGTGAGCGGCGAATGATGGATGAAACAGATGTAAATAACGCTAATGCAAAGTGACGTATCAGATGGGCGAGGTGAACTGCGCTTCCTGCTGGGAGCTGCCCCTTTTCCCAGGTTCAACTCGCCCTCCAGTCCGTGGGTAAGGTTTTTGGTCTAAGCAGCTCCTCGAGTGGTTTTACAGCATCACCTGCTGCAAAATGTTGATTTATTGACACAACACATGATGTTTTGGCCTTAATTACTTCCAATTGTTATGGTTAGGATGGTTAAAATAATGACATTTGGATATTTCGAGTGCGTAAAGCATCACATTCAAATTTAATAGAAGTCATTACACAAGCAGGGGAGTGCTCATAGCATGACAATCAAGGTCCTCTGCTATGTGGCTAAATTTAGAAATGCTTACCGTCTTATCTTAACATTTGCATTTTTAGTGTAACTACAAAAAGGAAGGAAAAGCTACAATTTGTACAGCTCGCTCACTTGATATTGCAATTGGCTGGCTCTTACTTGTCATTGGCTGGTTGAGATGTCCTTGCCAGGCTGAACAATTTAAATTAGTTGAAAAAACTAAAAAAAAATGGAATAAAAAAGCAACCAAATTACCACCGTATTTCTCAACTGGGATCCACATCTTTGAGTGTTTGTTAACATTTGTCCATGAACTGATTTTGTAACAAATTTCCAAGTTAACGGCTGCGACACCGTGAAATTGCTATGAAGTGCGTATAAAGGCCTACTTTTTTTCACTATGCTATGAAAAGCTGCACGTTCCCCTTCGCCTGCCTACTGAGCCAGTGGAAAACCTTCATAAATCATGGAGCGGTTTATTCATCCCGGATGAATATGTGGATAACAAAGTAAAAGTTGAGGCATGTCGTGCGGTGACCTCGGAATTAGGACGTTGAAATTTTACCTTCAGAAAAAAAATTGGTCGCACATCATAAGATGTTCTTATCTGAACGAGTTTAATCTTTCCAATATACAATGTAGTTTCCTCAACAAAAGAAGGACCAGTAGCTCACAATTTGTGAGTTTTATCAGTAATCATGTATTTTATCTCAGTCACATTGTGAAAAGAATTGATTATTTAGAGGCTGAAAATACATTGACTGTCTGTCCGTTTGCAGGGTGGACCAATAGAAACGCCACAATAGTTCCTAATATAGTTGGGACTGCATTGCTTCTTCCAATTGAAAGACAACACTCAGGGGTATTTTCTCATGTTTTTGCATTTAACGGCATCCTAGAGGGCAGTTCATCACGTTTCCTCTAAAGGAAGGGCTACCTAAAGGCTACAGTTTATCATGTTTTCACCGTTTAATTGCACCTAGAGGGCACTACATCACATACAGCAGGAAGGGCAATCCAGGCTACAGTTTTCACCATTTAAGGGCAGCTCAAATGACACCTGAAACATTGGGACCAGCTGACCTACATTTGAATCCTACTGGGGAGAGAAAATGGAAATATAGTGGTCAGTTAAACTGGCTATTCTAAGCCTTTATTCGCACTTTTATATTTGTGTGTTCTTCTCAAGGTTATCTGAAAAATAGACATAACACAGTTTAGTGCAGGTTTTACAAACCACAGAAGCCACTGTACATTTCATGAGCCATTTAGCTACGGTTTGCTCTGGAAAAATAATTAAAAACTACAATGGGAGTTCTGGTTGAATTGCATTTTTTTTATTTTTGACTCTCACTAATGACATGAATTAACAAAAAATCAAAATAATGCTAAATGCTTGCAATGCATGTGCTGTCATGTAGAATCAATCTGTGGAGATCACAATGCAACCGTCATTATGCAAAGTGTCCTACTTGACACTCCTCCCGCTTCTATAATAACTATAGGCACATGTTGTAAAAATAACCATCTCTTTAATGAAACACTATTAATGGCTTTGCTAAGGAGAATGTTCACTTTGCTGGATGACACAGAAATGCTCGGTGCTTGACTCAGTCCCCAAAGTAGCTCTATGTGAAAAATAAGAAAAACCTATAGCCTACTCTGCGTGCAGTTTGAGATGGGGAATAAGCGTCACGAGTTTCAAAAAAGCAATTACTACCAGAATGCAGACCGCCAAGCTGACGCCTTGATCCACTCCTGTGAATAATCCCCTAACATCCCGGCGGTTTTATTCGGCCCTTGGGGCGATTCAAAAACTCAACACACCCCAGGTCAATGTGATATGGGGAAGGTTTTGAGTTCAGGAGGGTTGCAAGATAAGTGATTTAAAACACATATTTGTTTCGCTCTTTGTTTCGCTCTAGTTATGGCTTCATTGCTGCATTTTCTAGTGCGGGAAGTTTTTTTTTTAATTCATTGGAAACTAAGAGAGACACAGAACATGCATGTTACTGTATAACGTGTCTTCATTATACGATGCATTGCTGTAACAGAAGTGCCTTTGCAGATGAAGTTTACAAGATCAAAGTCATATACTTTTGAATAAATACTTCATGTTTGTTCTGTTATAAAGTTATATATTTACTGTTACTATTCCTCTACACACCAAACTCAAACAACTTTACTGTGTTTCAAGACAAACAGTTAATTAATGTCACTTTTTTGTAGTCAAAGCAAGAAGTTGTTTGGCTCCTCTTTGCTGTTACTTCAACAAATATTAGCATTTATTTGTGTTCATAAGAGATTTCAGGACCGTTGTCACTCAGAAGCCATCCTTACCATCACAACACTTATCTTTGGCCAAAAGACGGCGATTAAATCTTGGAAATATCCCCTGGATGATAACTCCTTCCCATTTAAGTGTTTATTTAACCATACTTTTATTTGCGTCTATAGATGTGTCCTACATTTTTAAAAGTAGCATTAACGCCTCATTTCAGAAGATTTTCTTTCTTTATAAAGGTTATCAAGTTTCATGAGGATGTGTGTAATGGAATGTTTTTCATCCAGGTCCCAGTCGGTGTCCCCATGTGTTTGGTTGATTGTATGGTGGAGGTGGAGGGTGGGGGCGGAGGAGGGGGTGGGTGGTTGTCAGGAGGCGCAGGCAGGGCGGCCACGGGAGGAGAGACAGAGTCTGTCGGGCGGAGGAGCGGATGGACGCGCAGAGCTGCGGGCGGAACAGCAGTCAGTGCCCTCGGCACCAACAAGTGAGACACCGTTCATGTTTTTATGTCCCTCGGAGATTTAACAACTTCCCCGCGTGCCGCTCTTCACTCTTTATCCCCTCGCGCGAAGGTGGACGCGTCGGGCACGCGCACGGGACTTTTCTTATTTTGAAGAAGTGTTGATGAAATACTGTTTTTTCAAGAGCGGTTTTTACATGTGCCGTGATGTGAAAAAACTACTGCTGCCACATCGACGATGTATCCATCTTGGTACTACAGATGTGAAACTGGATTAAAAAGTATATTTGGATAAAACTCTTACCCGGTAAGTGGGCCGATAGTTGTTAATTGAGTCTTTTGGTTACGTGTATTTATTGCCGCTGTTTAGATAAAATGTTAATGTGATTAATCCGCAATATTACAAAACTGCGCGAGATGCTGACTCGGCAGCGCATCACTTGCCCCATTACATGCAAATCTTTGCCTATAGGCTACTATTTCCTCTACAGACCTGATAGTGTAGTTAAACGTAAATAAATGTTTCCTCTCCTTAAGTATGGGTGAACCTGTGATACGTTCAAGGACTTCACTGAAAGTATGTATTTCCTTGCAAAAAATGAAGAAAATTTTAATTTAGAAAAATGGCGAGGTTTGTGCCAATATGTAAAGATCTTACAAATATAATAATATAATCTACATTATACATATATGTTTTTGAGTTTTGGAGAAATCCGCCATATCTACCCACATGTCTACTCTTTCTCCAATAAAATGAGACTGTGGAAGTTGTGGTCCTCGATGTGTAAAATAGAAAAAATCCCTTTTGACATAGCAATTCCTATTTCCAGAAAAGCATGACCTAGACAGTTGGGGGATAATCTTCAGTAACAGTCCCCTTTAGGATATTAGGAAAAAGCGCTCAAATGAAAGCTAAGACCAGCTGCGGCACAATCCGCATGAACCGGAACCTACAGCCCAAAGGCCTCCGTTACCACTTAATGATGTAATGACGTCACAACAGGGCGTTTGAGCTGCCCTTGTATGTAGATGTTCTTGTCCACACCTCCTACTGAGCTTAGGCTGATTTGAAGCTTATTCAAGACTCCTGCGTGTGTGTCCCTGAAGAGGCCCTTGCCAAAGACAAACGAAAAAAGAAAGTAAGACTAACATAGAGAAGAAGTCACCAGCTCTGTGGGGCGGATGACCTCGAACGCAGCGAGGGGTTTATGGTGCGATCGGTTGAGCCCACCAGAGGGTGCGCAGTCCTAAAGTGATGATCCTCCTCCTGCGGGACAGATGGAGTCCTTTGAGAGCCCACAGCCACTGTGGTCACGCGCCTGTGAAACAGACATGAGCTGTGCAAACAAGATTTGCTTCATTGTAGGAGTCAACGGGAGATGCGCTGTTTCATCGTTTTGTTTAGTTTTCTTCTTTGTTTAGCTTTACGATAATTAAATTAATATTGAAATACAGTTTAGTGCTCGAGCTTTAGAGTATCACTTCAGGCTTCATGTTTTATAGTAGACACTGCCGACCATAATTGCTTTGTCCTAATTGGACGATTAAATGCTGGCTACGACTGACGAGTGTGCCTCCTGGTTTATGAGATTTGCAGCAGTGAAATGGATTTTTCACAATAATCACATTATACGTTTTGCAAACATTGTGGGAATAGCATTTACTCAGCTCAATTTGGGAAGACAAAGGCATTTGCTTGCTCCCTTAGAAAATGACTGATCTCAGCAGGAGTCATAGTCTTGATGATTCGTCATGTACTCTGACAGCTGATTGTTGCCATTTTCTGCTGCAATAAAGAACCATACTTTTTTTCTGCACAGGAATAACCTTACCCTTCGTTTTCTTACAGGCACCGCTCTGAGCACCGAGGCACCACAATAAACCTGAGACTACGGTTCCAGGCAGAAATACGCTAAGTGAGCAGCTGAGCTACTACAAAACCAATTTTAAAAGATTATAGAAACTTTATTGAATCTTTTTTGAAGAAGTACATCAAGTCAGGCACCGATGTTGCCGTGAATAAACTCATCAGTTTGGCCATTTTGAAAGCTAATGAGGCTGCAATCATCTTTCCAATGCCGTAAAACAGGTGGAACTATGATTGCGTTGGCCTGACGGGAGCAGTGGGAGGTCGCTGCTGAATATGCCGGACTTGGCGGGGCCAGATATGCCCTGGAAATTATCCATCCTCGATGGCTTTGGCAACTTATGGGGCTTGCTCTTGGGAGTGTTCATAGCAGGTGCACCAGTGACGGCTTGTCCTACGAGGTGTCACTGTATAGAGAAGAGTGGCATGACTGTGGTCCAGTGTATGTCTCGCAACTTGGAGAGCATCCCACCAGATCTTCCAAGAGATACCGTCGTCCTACTTTTGGCATCCAACCACATCACCCACATCCCCAACTATGCCTTCAAAGAACTGCACTACCTTCAGGAGCTGGACCTGTCTAATAATGACATAGAAACGGTGGATCTCGGGGCTTTTCAAGGCGTTTCTGACAGCCTCCTCGTCCTAGATCTGTCAAACAATCGCATCCAAAGTGTTCCTAAAGAGGCATTTGCGCGTCTGCGGGCGAAAATCAGCCTCTCGAACAACCCATGGCACTGCGAGTGCACCCTGCAGGAGGTCCTGAGGGAACTGCGGCTGGACCCCGAGACTGTGAATGAGGTGATCTGCCACACGGCGGTGCAGGAAGAGTACGCAGGCAAGCCGGTTATCCAGGTGTTGGACTCAGGGATCAACTTCTGCAACTTCCACCACAAGACCACGGACGTAGCCATGTTCGTCACCATGTTCGGGTGGTTCACCATGGTGATTGCGTACGTCATCTACTACGTGAGACACAACCAGGAGGACGCCAGGAGGCACCTGGAGTACCTCAAGTCACTGCCGAGCAGCTCGCAGATAAGCAAGGACTTTGACACCATCAGCACTGTTCTCTAGGGGGGCTGTGTGTGTGCTGGTGGGTGTAATATGTGAGTGAATGAGTGGTTAACACCAGTGATCAAGCACACTATGCTGAGGTCTTTCAGTGACTGAGATAGGTCTTTGGGTTTTCCAGGCCCCATAAATAAATAGATGTATATTTTTTTTCATTACAAAAATAGGTGTTTTATTAAGATACGAGTTAATCTGACAAAGAGATAGCACAAACTAAACAAAATACTCACATTTACATCATAGATCTGGACCGGAGAGATGTTCACATGCTGGTGCGATCCACAGTGTGATTGAGTTTGAGTAGAACAACCTTTTCCCTCGGTTACTTTTTATCAATCGATTTATGTTCTTCCAATCCAGGTAAAAAAAAGGCCTTTTTCTGAGACCTTGGCTAACATATGAAATCGGGCAAGGTGTTAATGGTAATGGTAAATGGTAAATTCAGTGTGCATAAGGCAATTGTAACAGCCCTATCCCCTTTTAACCTTACACAGTAAAGGACTGACCCAGGAAATAAGGCTACTATGTGCAAATTCTGCATTGTGTCATGTTTAAGACACAAATCTATTTAAACTAGGATGCTGCCATAATTTACCAGTTCTGATGCGTCTTTGGTACAGGGCCACGTCATTACCAGCAAATGTTCCTGAATTGAAGGCTCTCCGTGAAATGTCTTTCAGGGTGACAGGCTGGTTATTGCTGGTAATTGTTTAATGTATAATGTGGTGATGTTGTGAGTTGTGTTTTTGTCTCCGCTACTGACTGAGAAACAGCCTTTAAATGCATCCGTGAAAGTCAAACTAGTCGACAGAAAAAACCAAATGCGTTGTACAGTAGGTATAGCAACACTATACGTTTATCAGGCCCCCTACGAGGACTTATGCAGACTTTGACCAGAAATAGAATTGTGGTACGTCAAAACCAAACATAATTTGGGAGAAATACAAGTTACCTCAAAACATAATCTACAGTCCACTTTCATATACAGTATTGCAATGTAATAAAAACACATGTGAACACCTCAAAACCTCGCAAAGAAGCTGTTTACGGGGGCAGAGGAGCTCAGGCACACACCTCACAAATCACATTCATATGGAACTGAACATCAAAACGTTGGTTGACTAAACCGAGGTCACTAGGTGGGTTCGAAACAGAGATTAATGAAACGCAACGCAAGCCTTGCAAATGTGTCCCAATAACCCCGGTTCATGCTCGCCGACACGTATGTTGTTACTAAATGAATATGAATGAGCATGACAGAGATGTAATAGGGCTCAGTGAAATATAACTCTCTACTCTCCCCTTTCACATTACAGCCTCCTGGTTCAATATTAAAGCCCTATACGATGACCTGACAACGTAATAGTCTACTGGCAGGACGCTGAGACATTGCAATCACAGACTGTTGTGAATTTCATAATTTTTTAAGAAAATCCGTCCGTCTATATACAGTATATGATGACCATATACCATATATGTATCTTTTCTTTGTATCTTTCTTAGAACCATAGTTAATTTCACTGTTGATTATTTGGAAACAGTATAGTGATGAGTGAATTTGGTTGGAAAGCTTCTCCTCGTTATACCCAAAACAGACCCCCATAGTTCCGAAGGACCGAGGCTTTGAAAACACATACACTGTGCACTGGAACCGAAGCACAAAGCTACTTATCGTGTCTACAAACCTTACCACTTTTGTATTTTATATGTTTTATTAGATATAGGAGTCAGTTAGAACACAGGGAAAATAATAATAAGTCATCACAAAGAATTGTTGTATGCAGTAATTTTTAATGCAGCTTTGTCCTGGTATACTTTTAAAAGCAATCTTGGGGTCCACAATGATTGTGTGTGAATGTATGTATGTTGGATGTCAATGTTTAGAAGTGCTAAACGCCACATGATTTCCCCCCCAAAAAAACATCAAGAACGAGGGCCAGAAGTCAAAAGGCAGAAAAGTCTTTGAAAGTTACGAGCTGTTCTGCGATTCACAAACCCTGATACGTCTCCTTGTGTGGGTATTCCCACTCATCTCATAGTCTAACTAGGTTCAAATAAACTATTATTTGTTTTTAGTGTTGCATATTGTATTTGCATAAGTAAAGTCGTCTTTTGTACTTCTGTAGGTCTATTTGTTACAGTGCCAAGCTTTCTGTGCAGATATTAACTGTCTTATGAAAATGTGCTGCCCGATGTGTACACAACATCTACAATATAAAAGGGTCGCGCATGCCATCCGTAAATCTGTCTTTAGCTAAACCCATGTCAAAAGTCTAAGAGTCTTTCTATGTCTGATCTGTAGAAGAATTAGTCTATGAGCTGTGTATTTCTGTGATGGAAATGGAGGGGCTTCAAAGATTTTTTATCGGTTTGTTTCTACGTGTGTGTTTTATTTTATGTCAATGAACACCTTACCAGCATTTGAAAATAAAAAAAATATTTTATTAAGACAACACATTTTCATTCTCCTCACATTTTGTAATTTGATCCAAAATAGATAATGGGCATGTGTTTTCTTAAGGAAAACATCTTTCATCAACAAAACAATCCACGACATTAGTTTTCGTCAGCTATCATTTCATTCCCAGTTAATTCAATAGGTTAATGACAATAACTATTCCTTCCTAAAAAGGAGGGAAAAAAGCAACAGCGTTAAAATACTGTTAGTAATGTACTACTTATAACGTTTTTTATTATTTTCATCTCCATTTAGCAATTTATATCGTCTCGCTGCTGGATGGGGAGTGGGGGGGGGGGTAGTAGTACGACAAATGACAAATACCTCAATATGTTTCACAAAGTTACATTCCACCTCAAAATAATATGTTGCGGTGATTTATCAGCAGCCATTGATTTTGGCTCACTTTTTATTATAAGGAGGTCAAGTGCATCTCACAGTGCAATGTCCAAAGAAGAAAGCAACTATGGGTTTACCTTGCTGGTATTCATAGTGCACAGTGCCGAGATCAATGAAAGACGCATTACTGAGAGAAACCTGTCTGCTGCATTGGTTGGTTTCCTGGTTGTGGCTGCAGCAGGCTACAGCAACTGAATACCTCAAGCCCGACTCAATCCTCAGTTTCTTTTTCAGCCAGCTGTTGCCAGACAGAAATGGGGGTATACTGGGAGAGTGTGTGTCTGGAAATTCTTCGAGGCACTTTGTGACGCCGCCGCCTGCAGGGAAATTTAGGCACAGCTGATTAAAAGAACACTCCTTATTATGACTCGGATCACTTCATTCGTAGCAAAAAGTCATTCAAAAGGTTTAGGTAGCAAATTAACATCAACATCTGGACACAAATCTAGGTCAGCTTGTTTTAAATCAGTATTCAATTGTTCTGTTGGTCATGATGTATATTTTGTTTCGGATGCATTTCTATCGAGCCATAAAAAAAAGTTATTCCAAATCAATGTGTTTTTACTTTAATCTTGTGAATTAATGACTGGCAAATTGCCTTGCCGGATTGCTTATCACCTAACAACCATTAAAAACACCATTTGCAATAAACAACAGAAAGAGCAGTTTAGTTTTTGTACGGTCTTCAAGTTAGACTAAAGATATACATGCATATTTGAGTTGGAAATAGGTTTCCAACTCAAACTGGTTTGCAACTTTAGACATAAAACGTTTTTATGTTGCCTCAAATGACAAAGCATTTTATGACAGTTTGACTCATCCTCATTCAGGGCCATCTCTAACCACTCCTGAAGTTCACTAACCTAAAACTATACCAGGTTTTCCGTATTTGGACTGTTTTGTGCCATATTGAGGGTAAATGCTTGTTTGAATGTTGAATATGTCTCGCTGTATTAAAGTGTCCTTGAGCACATGACAAAGTCTCCCTAGATTCATGGGTGTCGTGCTGAATCATTTCAGAAATACACTGTGGCCATTTTAGTAGAAGGAATTACACTTGTTGTCTGGGGAGACGCTAGACTCCGGTAACACTCTGATTCCACACGCAACCGTAAAATACACTCATGCAACTATGCTAAGATACCAGTACGGGTTAGGTATTAATTAAAAGGGTGGTTTTCTGCTTAAATAATATCTTTTTATGCCACACCCACTTCTTCAACAGGCCATTTGTACAGAAACCCGGACAGGGGTTTGCATCATTGTTTTTCAATAATCTAATTTAGATGATAAAGCACTTTGCTTTCCCACTGGATCATGAGCCGTTCATCTTTTCTCCATCTCTGAAAACTTCGGTCATCAACTCAAGCCCATAGGGGCTGGCACGAGTACATGTGTAGTTAACTTGTTCCCATATACTGCTGCTTTGGCTCCCGGTCCAGCTCATCTCCAGTTCTCTGACTTGATTACACTAGTTGTTATTTGTGTTAAATATTGACATTTGAGTAGTGTCTCGAGTTGCGTGAAGGGTATTGATTTTGTACTCAGTGGGATTTCTTCAACAAGACCTGCAATCTCGACATGGAAAAAAGAAGATTGCACTTTAACAGAAAGTATTTACTTGTGCAGGCTCCAAACTCCTCGGTCACATCATCGCTGCAGAGATTAACAGGAGGCAGTAAAGTGCATGTAAACGTTATCCATACATGACAATCTTCTGGAGGGCATTAAATAGCGCGATGTCTGACACTGACAAGCAGCGCTGCGTAGTAAATCAGATATTCAGTGTAGACAACAAATGAGGTGACCTGCTTCGGAGCAATGTTCGGTCAATGGATTTTCTAAATGGGGACGTTCAGAGATGTGGAGGCTGCCTGGCCAGCAGGCGTGATGTGGGATCACAGTACAAAGCGCAGTGACTTCATCAATCACAGCACTACCGACACATCTTTTTCTCCTATGACGTTTTGTTGCAGAGATTTTATGGAAGATTAACAAACGCATTACTTGTTAAGTAGGTGTGATGCCCTTGCACTGCAGCGAAGTCTAGTGGTTGGTGTGAAATCCAGTAGCCTTTTAATTGATTTCATCCTATATAGGTGTTACCGTCAGGCCGGAACACTGAAAACAGTCATTTGCGTTGAGAATGACTACACAAAATAAGAGATCTAATGTAATGTAAGGTAATTTATTCCAACACAGTGACTGAATGTAAATAAGTTGAATGGCTATGAACTCCCACGTGTTTGTCGTTGCTAAAACAAATTGTCCCAGCGGATGTAAAAAAGACACAGTTTGACAGACAAGACTCGGGCTGACAGATAAGATTGCACCTTAACCACTTTCAGGGTGGCTCAAGGCGCACTCGTATTATTCTTGGGATGACATTGCACCATCTCAGCCATGACACAAGAATGTATCTTTTTCCTTAATTACGTATTTATGTTTGGCCCGAGGCAGTTTGTCGTTAGTGTCGCCGTGGGGGGTTTGTATGTCTAAGACATACGCCCTTGTCTCAAGGACTTAGTCTATTTATTTTAGGACTTTGGCCTTCACTGTTGAACAACACATTTACTGAACTAATCACAGGCTATTGCAGTACATCAGAACCGCCATTCAACACTGTGCATTGTTGTAGAGTAATACTTCACCTGCACGGCCAAGGCGAGGCAATGTCTCTCCAAAAGGATACGATGACTGTGATACATCTTTGGCTATAAAATCAACTACATTCAGAAGAAATCAATGACTATTCGGCTCCACTACTCTATGTCGTGTCCTTTGGCAAGGCACTCCAGGGTTAAAAGTCAACCTTTGAGGGTCACGTGGATCAGCTGCTCCCTTAGTCCATTCAATAAAGTATATTTTAGGATATTATGGCCAACAATAGGAACTCTTTATGAGGGACAATGGATTGGAGCTCTTTAATACTGTTTAGATATGATTGCAGCATCGGATTATCCTGCGTCTGTTTGCAAATGTAAAGCAAGAGAGTTGCATTCTATTTGTTGTAACTGCTCTCAAATCATCCAAAAATTGGATGAACCTTTTTACTTTGTACAGAAATCCACACGACAGAGATAATGAATGTTGAGTAATGAATTGTGCCCGGATGATTTGATTTTTGTTTTTGTTTTTGTGAAATATCTTTCATAAGGAAACCTCGAGGGTACAAAATGTGGTTGATATGGTGGTCTCCAGAGAACAAATCCTATTGATCTGGTGGTCCTCCTCTTTTACTTTAGCACCCTTTAAGGTTAGGTGAAAAGGTTTGCTTATTTTGAGAAATATTGCAACATCTACTTGATTGGAACATGGATGGATCTACATTAACAACTCATTTTAAACAAATTACTTTGACTATGAAATGTCCTTTAGTTTCTCGACAAATTAGACTTATTTTCAAATCTTAAGATGTATTTTTTCTAATGATAGTGACAAAAGTACAGTAGATCAATGCCAACATTCACACTAAAAAAGCCAACAAGGAAAACAACAGCGTGCTCTTAAACAACAACAAGTCGTGTCTTTGAATTAAACAAAAATAAAATATCGGAACTGGAGTTGCAGACATTCTTTACTTGTCCTCGGGCTTCCTACTTACTGTGGTGATTACTCCTAAGTGCTGCAGTGACACTTGTATTGATTTACCCTGATATTCATCATCCTATCACCTTTGTGCCTCATGCGAGCTGGAAAACCTCAACTCCTGTAAGGGTGTTATCAAAGGGGCCAAAAGCAGGGGGGGGGGGGGTATTTTTAGATGGCCTGTTTGCAAAGCTAAAGGGCTTCCAAAAGGACATAAAGAACACGTTACAGACTCTTTTGTGTATCCAGTTTAATTGTTTTGTGTTATTACTCCTTCAAAACCACAATAGAGCTTTTATTTGAAATATCCTAATAAAGTCCAAGATTGATAACATATAATTGAAAACAGTGCAATTCTTGACAGTAGCTACACATTACATTAAATTCACAGCAAGGATATTAACAGCAGGAAATTGAAGGAAAAAAAGAGCTGACTGCAACAAAACACCATGAAGTACAACTGCAAAACCTGTATGCTGAAAGACACCGGCTTTTTCTGCAATGGTATCTTAGCTGATAGGGGGTAATGTCGTATACTGAATATTCATTGGGGATACAATAAAAGTACTTGAGACAGGGAAAATGCACAAATGAAAACATGGGAAAAAAAACCTGGTCTCATTCCTGATCCAGCGGTGATTAGGAACAAATCAAATGACTACATGTTATGACTGGAGTTCTCCACAGGTTCTTATTGACCATGCTTATTTACTGTACTTGCACAGTATAGAAGAGAGCTAAAATAAGTGTTTGCAAAAGTGACTGTAATCTACTCGCCAGGAAGGCTGGAAAACGGGCCATATCCAGATTTTAAGACTAACAAATGCTATTTGGGGATGGCTAGTTAATAGTTTTTGTGAGCATCTTTAAAGCTGCAATCGTGGTTGTTCGGGTCTCTATCCGTTGCATTCTCTGTTGATTTAAAATGATCCCATCTTAGCCACTACAAGCCTTATTTTGTGTACCATCATGCACCAGGGTGAGTTATAACAACGACAAACCCTGGTTTA